ATTTTTCTTCAAGATTATCTCTGTTACTGTTAAGACTTGACATATCTATATTAGTTTTCGAATCAGCCTGTCAATTTCCTCAAAACACCTTCCTGGGATTTAGATTGGCATTATATTGATTCTGTAGATCAATTTGGAGAGGTTTGACTTATTTACAGAGATGAGATCCTTCCAGTTCATAAAAGTGATGTATTTTTAAATTTATTTAGGTCTTCTTCAATTTCTTTCAATAATATTTAGACCTGACATTGATATCCTGTGCATATTTTTAATTGGTTTATCTCTAGGTATCTTTGATGCTATGATAATTTATGTCAACACTAGCTTTTGTGTAAAGGAAAAAAATGACTAACTAGTCACCTACTGATATGGTTTAGCTCTGTGTCCCCATCCAAATCACATGGCAAATTGCAATTCCCAGTGTTGGAGGAGGGCCTGATGGGAGGTGACTGAATCCTGGGGACAAATTTTCCCCTTGCTATTCTCATGACAGTGAGTTCTCGCATGATCTAGTTGTTTAGAAGGGTGTAGCACTTCCCCCCTCTTTCTCTTCCTCCTTCTCTGGCCATGTAAGATGCACCTCCTTCTTCTTCATCTTCCACTGCTGATTGTCAGTTTCCTGAGGCCTCCCCCGCCATGCTTCCGTGCAGCCTGCAGAATCAGGAGCAAATTAAACCTCTTTTCTTTGTAAATTACCCAGTCTCAGGTAGTTCTTTATAGCAATGTGAGAACAGACTAATACACCTAGCAAATGCCATGCCGTAGTGGAAATATAGTGGAGACCTAAAACAATATTACACGTTCTAAGAAATAATAATTGTTGGGTGGTAAAGGGAAATGACAAGCCTGGCAGGAAAAAATAATCACACACAGCACATGTATATACACATACTCACTTAAGTGTCTGTCTCCTCCATGAGTTGAGAATGCGTACTGGTATTGGCTCACATGGCCTTGGGCTCTTAAGACTCTATGACAGAATGGAAAGAGTGTTAGTGGAATGTCAGGACTCCTGGATCCTAAGCTTGGTTCTTCACAAACTACTTGTGAAATTTCAGGCAAAGCTCTACTTAACCTCCTTAGATCTCAGTTTTTACACCTCTAAAAATAGAGTTGGCTCTAACATTGACTTATAAATAAGGAAAAGGAACCCTTTGGTTCCTGGTGAGTTTTGACATAGGGATATCCTGGGTATGATTTGGGGGGGTCTGCCTGCCAAGAGATTTCTTAAAGAAAAGCTATCTCCCCACTAGTTTGTGAATGCTTAGTAATTCTTTGACAGAAAAAATGTCTCTGAGAGAGGGGATCCCCTGAGGTGAACAAGCAGAGGAATAACAGATGCAAGAAGAGATCACAAGGATCAGGCACAGGTGTCTTACCTGAAGTACATTCCAGAGGTGGAGAAGGTTCAGGAAAAAGCATAGAGGCAGAAGCTGGCAGTGCCCATGCAGGGACTTCCCTTTGAATCATGAAAGTTTCACAGAAGAGATGAATTAGGATTCTGCCTTAAAAGTCTTTAAAGAAAGAGTTACAATCAATGGACAAAAAGTGCTGCCATTTCTCTTTATGTTTAACAGTGATGATGAGGAGTGGGTGGAGCAGCAAAAACTGTTTGTCAGAATTCATGGTCCTTCTCACCTAGTAAAATATTCAGCCTGGAATCTTTCCTGATCTTTGATCCCTGATCCCTGCTGCCTGATCAGAGACTCCATTCCCAGAACACCCCTGCATCTGGGTTGTGTCAGTAGAATATATAAAATTGGTATTTGTTACTTCTGAACCACGACCATTAAGAAGCATGTGTGCCTTCTCCATCTTTTTTTTCTCTTTATATGGCTAGAACCTAAGGACTCCCAGTTCCCAGGAGAGAGTGGAGCCACAAGATGTAAGGAGCCTGCCTGAGCTTTGTGCTGCTATAACAGAATACCCGGGACTGGGTAATTAATTAAGAACAGAAATTTATTTTTCACAGTTCTGGAGGCTGGAAAGTCCAAGATTAATGCACCAGCATGTTAACTGCTTGGTGAGGGTCTAGTCTTTGCTTCCAAGATGGTGCCTTCAATGCTGCAACCCCTTGGGGGAAGAAGAGATGTATCTTCACATGGTAGATAGCAGAAGGGCAAAAAGGGATAAACTTCCTCTATCAAGACCTATTATAAGGACACCTAATCTGATTCATGAGAGTAGAGATCTTATGGCTTAATCACCTCTTAAAGGCCCTACCTTTGAATACTATCACACTGGCAACACTCGAATTTTGGATGAGACACATTCAAGCCATAGCAGAGCCTCAATCCTTGAGTTATCTCATTGAGGAAAGTGGTGTGCCTACCAGGAATACTTGCACCAGACTGTTTGGTGAATGAGAAATAAAATTCTATTGTGTTAAGTCACAAAAGTTTGAGGTTTATTTGTTACAGCAGCCAATGTTAACCTAAATAATGCAGTTTGTTTCCGAAACAATTCACAGTATTGACAGGAAAGGAATAAAAGCACAATGTTGTTATATGACTGCCGTTTCACCTAGGAAAAGAGAGAAAATGTGAAAGGAGGATAACTAAAAATAAAGTTTCCCCAAACTTTTTAAAGTCACTGGAGAATGTTCACAATTTATATAAAAATAGGATGATAATAATGTCAACACGTAATATCTGTGCCTAATAGATTTGCACTCCCCCAAGTTGCATTTTAATTTCCCTAAATTGGCTCATGACATATTCTTATGTGGGATTCAACATTTAGCAACAAATAAGACTTCCTTCTCTCTTGGCACTTCTTACTCCTCCCTTTCCCCCACGCATCCATATCCCTGCTGCCTTCTCCTTCCCACAAAGCTCATTTTTGGCAAAGTGGTTTTTATAAACCACACATTTTAATGAATTAAGTGTAGTCCCACGATCACACTTACATTCTCCTACAGTCCCCTGACTTCCACACTCCTACAGCTATGGGAATTTTCCCTCACACCTCCAGAAAGGAAAAAAATGAATTGAAAATTTTGTCTATAAGTAGAAAAGTTATGCACAGAATGTGATGGTTCTCCCACTTTTCTTCTTCTTTTTCTTTTTTTTTTTTTAATGCAAGAAGGAAGATGATTTTCAAACATTGCACGTCCTCTGAGAAACTAAAATATTCAGTGCTGTTTTCTTTTGGCAGTAGCATAATTGGTTGTGATCATAAACCCACATAGTTCCTTTTATCCTTTTTAGTGGCAGCTTCACGGACTGTCTTCTACCCTGTCAAAGAAGAGAGTTGGGGTGTTTGACAGCAAAGAAATTTAGGAGAATTTCAGAGCAGAAAAGGACCATGTACATCATAGTTTCTAACCTTCTTGTTTTACTGCTGTGGATACTGAGGTTCATAGGTGGTTTAACTTGCCCAAAGTCATGGGGTTAGCCAATAGCTCCTGGGAAATTTAAGCTATACCCAAATTTTACAGTTTGTATCACATGAAGTTTCAATCACACAATCTTCTTGGATCATTGCAACAGCTGCATGATGGTACTAGAACCACCCTCTGCTAGAGAAGTGAGAAGACATAAGAATGCTCATCAGAGTGCTAGGCCTTAGAATTGCATCCCTGACCACTGAGGCCATGTTCTCAAGTCCACCTAGCATTTTTTTTTTCCCCATTTTTTTGTAGTGTCACCAAAAAAAGCATTAGACACTTGGCCAGGGTCTGGAGTTACCTAGACAAAGGGCATAATCTATGCTCTCCAAGAGCACACAGTTTAGTGAGGGCAGATAAATAAACTGGTGATTCCAATCCAGTATGATCAATGCTTCCATCTTTTGCACTTGGCATGCAATCATTTCAGAAGCAATGGTTGCATTTCCCAAGGGAAAAAAAAAACAACAGCAGCAGCGGTAGCAGCAGCAGCAGCAGCAGCAGCAGCAGCAGCAGCAGCAGCTGGCTGACTCATCAAACGAGGAGGCACCAACAGCTTTGCCTCCCAACTAAGGAACATCTTACTCAAACTCCCTCCCACCCCCCATCACCACCTGTAGGCTTGGAACCAATAAAGGCTTTGGAAATGAAAGATAATGTGCTAATAGGATGTTAAAACAAAACCACTCTCACCACCCACCACCAGAGGTAGTTTGTGTAAAGGCGTTATTCCCGAGCCTCGCGCTTCATTTCATGACTCCAACTTGTGGCACTTTGCTAGGTTTGCAAGTGTTGCTTATCCAGAGAGCTCAGAGATTGTTTTTGGCAAAGGACTCAAAGCAGGCAGATCCAACCCCTCTCACTGTCTCTTTCTTGTTGCCAAAACATAAGACTCTTAGTTTAATGGAAAAGTCGTGTGAATTTTGCTTCCAAGGAATAACCTGAGATTACAGTTAAAATTAAGTAGTAGAGGAAGGTTGGGAATTAGAAAAACTAAAATCTGGTCCTGAAAATTAATACTGTGTATATCATTCCTTTAATACTGTGTATACCATACCATTCATGCTGTATATTAATTTTAGCTCTTGAACAAGGCTATTCACCTCTTGGTTTTAGTTTTTCCATCTTTGAAATAAGAAGAGTGAACTAAATATTTCCTAAAGTCTCCAACAATTCTGGCAAGTATACATTCAAAATTTTGTTATTTAATTTTAGAGAATATTTATTGAGTTCAGTTACCATTAGTTATGTGCCAGTCACTGTGACACACACTGGTGAAAAGAGGTGAGAGGCCCAACTGCCTTTCAACATGGCTGAGAGACTAGCTAGGGAGTGGAGCAGTTAAAATTTAGCAGGAGGCATGGGTTTGAAGAGGTGTGCACAGGAAGCTGTGGGGCACAGAAAAAGGGCACTGGGCACCTCCAGGTTTACTCGATCTTTCTCCACTGATAGGAATCAGAACATGCCACTCTAAAATATGCAACTTTAACATATTGATTATTTTGAGCTGAATGAACAGCAGACGTGAGAAAGGCTCTCTGATCTCTCCCTTTCTACCTGAAAGCTGACACAGATTTCCTACAAAAAAAGTGTCTTCCCTTCCCTGTACCAGGAAGAAGAGAACATTCCTATTACTGAAGACAGACAGTGAATGTCAAGAAGAATCTGTACAAACAAACCTACTAAAACAACCTTTATCTTCCACTAGTTTCTCCAATATTTCCTAGTCACTTTCCCACAATTTGCTGCCTCGGTCCAAACTCCTTTTGCTTTTTTCTTGTCACATCTCCACAGTTGATCATTCTTTGTTGAAATGGTATATACCGTCTCGGGCCTCTTCATTTCTTTTTTCTATGAAGGCTCCTATGCCATGCAAAAATATTAACATCAAATAAAATGTATATGCTTTTCTCCTGTTAATCTGTCTTTTGTCAGTTTAATTCTCAGGCCCAGCTGCAGAACCTAAGAAGGCAGAGGAAAAATCTGTCCTCCCTTACACCACCTTTGCTCTTCCCTGGGAGATTGGTCTACATGGACCACGTCAACAAGACTCCTGGGCCATCTGGTTTCTTGTTGGCTTCAACTGACAGGCAGCACTTTAGGAGACTCAGGGAGAAAGGAGAGGCAGCTCTGGAGTATTTCTTTCTCTCCCTGGAAGGATGACTCCATCAAGTATCACTGCTCATCCCAAAGTCACCTACTGTCTCCCTTACCTTCTCTCTTATGACCTACAGATAATGAGAGCTCCACTGCTGCTGCTAATCCAGAGTTTCTATACCAGTTCCTGTAGTTTCACTTAACTACACCCACAACTTTATAATTAGTTCCTTGTAAATAAACTTTCCTCATATTTAGCTTGATCAGAGGGTGTCATCTGTTTTCTGTTGGGACCCTGGAGGATGTAGGCATGAAAACCACTTTTGAGATGTGTGTATATTGGAGGTAGTGAAGGAGCAGTTAGTTAAAAGGAAAGAAGGGGCAGGAGAATGGGGAAAGTGTCCCAGAGGAAAACAGAGTTAAGTCTTAAAAGATGTCTTGAAAAGACACAATGTCTTGAAAGAAATAATGAGAAGGAAGAAATAATTTCAGAGAGAAACATGTGGAGGCTCAGAGACTTGAAAGTGTCCTAGGGAAGTTGCAAATGATCAAGGTGACTGCAGGGAAGGACTGGTAGGTGGGAGGATGGTAAGTGATGAGGCTGGAGGGGAGGTGAGGGAGAGATCATGAAGGACTCTGTATGTTCTGTGAATGAGTTTGGGCTCTATCCTGAAGACAATGGGAAATTACTGAAAGATTTTTAAGCAGAAAAGTAACATAACCTGATTGGAATTTCAAAATATTCCTCTGGTATGTAGTGTGGGAGAAAGCAGGACTGGAAGCAGGGAGATAGTTTGGCATGTTCCTTCAATGATCAACGCAAGAATCAGTCACAATATGAAATTTGGTAGTGGCGGTGGGGCAGCAGGAAGTATGTGTGAGAACTATTGAGGAATTTGGTGAGGAATTGGGTCCGGTAGTAAGTCTGAAATGATGCCCAGATGTTTGAGTTGGGCCAGTTAATAGATGTTGGAATCATTCATAAACAGATGGGATCCTAAAGGGGGAACTGTATTAGTCTGTTCTCACATTGCTATAAAGAAATACCTGAAACTGGGTAATTTATAAAGAAAAGAGGTTTAACTGGCTCACAGTTCCACAGGTTGTACAGAAAGCATGGTGGCATCTGCTTCTTGGGAGGCCTTAGGAAACTTACAATCATGGTAGAAGGCAAAAGGGGAGCCAACATTTTACATGGCCAGAGCAGGAGAAAGAGAGAAAGAAGGAAGAGGTGCTACACACTTTTAAACAACCTGATCTCATGCTAACTCACTCACCCACTATCACGAAAACAGCACTGAGGGGATGGCGTGACCTATCCATGAAAACTACACCCCCTTGATCCAGTCACCTCCCACCAGGCTCCACCTCCAACACTGAGGGTTAGAATTCAACACAAGATTTGATGGGGACACAGATTCAAGCTATATCAAGAACTAAACTCAATTAACTCTTCATTCGTTTTTTTCCAGTACCCTCAGGAACTTGCCCTGATCACTGGCTTTTTTTCAACATTCAGCCTGCCTCTTTCCCTTCAGTGGCCTCTGCTATTATGACCCGGCAAGTGGGGATCATATCAGTTCCTTCCTCACATTTAAAAATTACTGAGTGAATACATGCACAGTTCCAGGCACAGAGTAAACATTGAGTAGAGGTTACTATGAAAACCAATGTATAAACTCAGTCCAAAATATGGTTATAAAACATCTTTGCTCATTCAATACATCCTTTTCGAGTGCCTACTTCATGCCTTTTGTCGTTTATTCCTTATGTGGGCAACTGTCAAAAAGCTGTGAGAAAGGGCTTATGCCATTTAAAAAATTTCTTATCTCTCTTTGTATTCTTCTCCATTTCTCCTTTGTTCTCCCTCTCTTCTTCTTCTCTTCCTCTTCCTTCATTTTCTTTGGCTTTCTTTTTCCTATATGCATACAGTTTTTGTGTCTGGGAGAAAAAAAGTCTAGAGAGCTAGATTTTTAGAGAACATTAAAAAAAAACTTGCCTGGATTATTGATTCATAGCTTTATAATGCACTCAGTATAGTAAGGACATTTATAGATTTCATGAGCTGTTTAATATCTATTTGTGGAGCACCACCATGTGCAATCATCTTGGACTCATTATGTTTCTTTGACTGCCCAGTGAGTCATAATAAGCCTCTGAAAAATGTAGAATAATGGTTTAGAACTAGAGGGAATGAAATAGCAGTCAAAGTCAAATATAAAATTATTAGTACATATAGTCTGTAAGAGTAATCAAGACAAGGAAGGGATAGAGGGCCTATTATTACATGCACATGTGTGCACATGCATGTGCATGCACACAAACTTTAAAGGGTTTGCAGTAGAGGGGAAGGTAGCTGGGGAGCCCTATGAAGAAAATTCTTGAAAGTGACGGGTTGCAGATCTATTTTCCATTAAGATTCAAACACGTGGGGGTAGGGAGCTCAAATTATGGGGAGGAAATAGAAAAGCCAATGGAGAACCTTCTGAGAAGATGAAGCCCTGTACTGAGAGGATAAAAGAGACTTTATTCTCCAGCAGTTAAAATGAAGAGGAAGAGATCATTTCTAAACAGGGCACAAGAAATAGCTTCATTTCTCCCTATTAACCTCTGTTCCCCCAAAGAAAGCCAGTTGAAGCAAGCAGGACAAAAGAATTCTATGTAAGCATAGTGAAGAATACCTTCTCTGATGGGAGCCATATTTTGAAAAAATATTAATGTAATTTTCTTTTTCAATTTTACAAGTATAGATCTTTATTTCTAATTGGTTCCAAGGTCATCAGCCCAGAGGTCTGTCGGTGTGTTTTATGGTGTGCAAAGGGGAAAAAAGAGTGATATTCAGCATTTGATATTTAAAACAGGATTTCAAGCAAGATAATAGCTTTGAAAGAAGACTTTTCTTTTTCTTTTTTTTTTTTCTGGGGACCCATCTGAATTGCTTTATCTCCTCTTTTGGCCTATGTACTGAATTCTTATCATTTTATGTTATCTTTGCATCCACTTTGAATATAAATTGGACTTTCTCATACAGAAGCAGGATTTTATCTTCTTCGGCACAGTTTCCAGTTTTCTGCCTCCTCCCAGTTCCTCAAGCTGGTTAATCCAGACATCTGCCCTATACAACTCCTTTCACCTGGCAACCACCTCCCTAGGGAACAGTTAGACACAGCCTACTTCACTTGCCTCACTGACCTCCACACCCCATGTGGACTGCACAGATGTGCACCAGTGACTACTTCTCAGCCACAGCACAACTCCGTGGAATTCAGTCTGCTTGCTCTAAACTCACCAATTAGAACTCCCCAAGGGAAACTTGCTTCGGTAATGCCCTGGGCCCCAATAAAGGCTTTGACCCACAGGTTTTTCTCTTTTCCTTGCTCTCTGCCCACTGAGTGAGCACATATGTCCCTGATGGCGCCTCAGTTCCGTTGGTCCTGCAAAGCGTGCTGCCCTCCTTTCTCTGGGATCTGTAAGTAATAAACTGCTGCTTCTGGCATTTCATGTGTTCTGTGGAGTTGCCTCCTCTGTGTCTCACCTGACCAACACATGTGAACCTAACTTCTTTCCAAATCATGGGTCTTCTAGAGAATGGCTATCTTGGCAGGAATAAACTGGACACAGTCCAGATAAGAGCCACAAGGGCATCTGCCAGTACAAACAAATTTTCTGTGAGAGGGGCACCTGGTCACAGGTCGAACACTTAGGCATGAGGCTGTCCAGCAAGATAAAGAAGCACCCCAAGAAAGGCACACTGTAAACATCTACAGGAAAATCCTTGGAGCCCTGTCAAGTCAGCACTAGAGTTTATATTCACTGTCTGGAGAGAGACCTCAAGAACAAATTAGAAATACAACAGCCTATTCGGCACCAACAAGAATGACCCAGATCTACAAGTTCCCCTGCAGGGTAGAAAAGTTATTCTTTTGGAGACAACAGGTAGGCCATGAAGCTTGCTGGTCCCTGGGAAGAGGAGATACCACAGAGGAAGACAGGCAAGCCCTGCTCTTCCTGTCCCAGGAGATGATGAGAGGGAAAATGAAGAGAGAGTGAAGGGGAGGGGGCTGATTTAGGACTGTCCAAAAGGATTTAATGCAAACACCAAGGAGGCACTGAGACAAATCAAAGGAGCATTGTCAAGGGGATGGAGTGGGACTAGGGAGAGATTTGCCCTTCTGGAAGACTCTGTAAGTTGCTATCTGGTAATGAGAGATTGAATATGCAAATGGACAACGACCAGACCATACTTAAAAATAGAACTCTGGCCGGGTGCAGTGGCTCACACCTGTAATCCCAACACTTTGGGAGGCTGAGGTGGGAGGATCACCTGAGGTTGGGAGTTTGAGACCAGCCTGACCAGCATGGAGAAACCCTGTTTCTACTAAAAATACAAAATTAGCTGGGCATGGTAGTGCATGCCTGTAATCCCAGCTACTCGGGAGGCTGAGGCAGAAGAATTGCTTGAACCTGGGAAGCAGAAGTTGCAGGGAGCCGAGGTGGTGCCATTGCACTCCAGCCTGAGCAACAAGAGTAAAACTCTGTCTGAAAAAAAAAAAAGGAACTCTGACCCACAATCTGCAGGAATCTGCCTACCTTATCTATATAACACCCCCTTATCTACAATAACCAGCCTAGGAAGCCAGTCTGCCTAAAGTCAGACTTGCAGGAAGCCAGATTGCTGTCTCTAGTAACAATCAATGAAGCTGAATAGTAACTTCTGTAATAATCTGCAAAAAATGACCAGAACTTTATGAACAATGGACGGCTTCTCTAATTTTTATCCATGCTTCCAATGTAGGGCCAACCAGAGAAAGGCAAATATTCACCCCTAAGCAATCACATAGGATGCACTGCCTCTTAGTGAGCCAGCCGCCTCCAGCTTCCCACGCCAGCAATCTCCAATCAGCATACACCTGAAGCCTTCCCTTCATTCCACCCTAAGGCTCCTCCACTCCTCTGCCCGCCTTTGCATTGCTGCCAAAAGTGACAGTGGCAGACTCCCTTGCTATAGAAAGCTCTGAATAAATAGCCTTTGCTTTTCTCATTTGGTTGGTCTTCGTTTATTTCTATAGTAGAGAAGCTTAGAATAGAGTCAGTTGGTCTAACGTGAGGGCCTCTATGGCAGGAAATAGATTGTCTAGGCTGGAGAATTGAATGAGGAATCAGAGTGTGTTACAAATGGCTATAGCTGAGGGAAGATAAAGTCACCCAAAGAGAGCTGTCAGCCCTGACCAAGTGAGAGGAACCAGAACAAGTATTATCCTGGCTGTGAACTTGAGCTATGAACTCCAGTGGGGTAAGTGGCTAGCAAGAGACCCCAGGAACGAGGCCCTGGACCTTGACCTGTTTATTCTTCCTTCTATAAGAAGACACGTAAGTCACATCCCTTCCCCTATATACCAAGAAACTATCTGGGAGGGGAGCTGCAGAGAAATGTAGAAGTGTGAAAAATTGGAATGATTGTGCATTTTTACTTAAAGAGGCTGGGTATCCATTAAAGGGGCTATTTAAATGACTGCATCATCAGCTTTGCTGTTATTTCCCCACTAACCAGCTCACCCATAAAAGCATATCAGTTATAGGAAAAATATTAAAACCATATTTTCTCTGCATGTTTAAGTTGTAGTTAAGCAAATTTTATAATTCCATAAGAACCGAAACTAATGTATTTTCTTGTTCCTCTGCTAAACAATTCTGGGATAAAGAATAGGTTTTTAGTTGAACAATGCTGAGATCAGGCAAAAACAACCCAGCTACTTGCTCCAGTGAATACCCACTCCTGGAAAATAAGACTGTGGAGCTACTGAAACTGCTGACTTATCAGGACTAACGGGTCACTCATCAAAGCTCGCTTTTATATTCTTACCTTTCGGTGCCTACCCATCCAAAGCTATTGTGCCATAAGTTCTGCCCAATCCCAACCAGTTCCCTGCCTTTCAATACCCACCTAAGAATCACCCAGCCTAGGCCCTAAAACCCTAAATAATCCTCCCCTGACTTCTCTCTTCTGAGATGCTACTGGATTCTGTATCGAGATCAAGCTGATGTTCTCTCT